GTGGGGCCATAAGTGGCTGGGCTGGAGTGGGAGTGGGGTTCCAGAAGGGCACATTTTTCAATTCAAATTTTTCCTGGTATCTACATGGCTAGGAAGGGTCAGACCTCTTCATCCAATAGGGCTTCAGAAATGCGTCACCTGACCTCCCCAGAGAAGAAAGGAGGGAGGGGTGGCCCTCAAGATTGAAGAGGCTCTGGTGCCTGAGCAGCTAGCGTATTGTGTTTGCTTTCCCCTTCACTCAACCCTCTGGAGAGGGGAGTATTTGTGTAGCAGGCTTGCTGGGATGTTAAATATGTTCGAAGGAAAATGGGGCGGGGGTGGGGTGGGCAGGGATAATTGTATTTATGATGTTCTCTGGAGCTGTCTTGTTTGCAAGGTGATGAGTGTGAAAATACATATTACAGAAATAGAGATGGGAGGAGGGAGTATGTTTGGGAAGAAGGTGGCAGAGATCACTGAAAGGGAGGAAACCCAAGTGTGAGGTTGGAGAGAGGCCCAGACAGAGGGTATCAGTGGGAAAAGAGGAGTGCTGAGGTGAGGGAGCAGAGGTGGAGATTGCTACGGAGTTTTGTAACATGAGATGCCATGTAATTCTCTCTTCATGAAGGCTTCAGTAAAATCTCCATTCACCAATGCTTTTCGACTGGGATTTGTTATGAGAGAGGAGCTCCAAGTGCTGACCTTGTAGCTTGTCAAAGGACCCTGAGTGAAAACAGTGCAGGTGTCACTTTCTAAAGGACTGGAAGGTGTGCACTGCTTCACAGCAGGTGGGGGAGAGAGGAGTGAATCAAGAAGACCCCACTAAAGAGATGGCACCTGAGATGGGCCTTAAAGGATGATCAATGTTTCTACTATAATTGGGGACAGGGGAGACCCCAAGTGCTGGAGGCCAAGAGGGGAGGCAGGGAGGTCTGAAAGTATTGGGGATGTCTAGGAAGTGGTTCAGACCACTGCAAGGGGAAGAGGCTGCAGGGGCAAAAATGAGTGGCTGGTGGAACTATGGATGCTTGGCCATTTTCAAATCTTAAGGGCTGTCATGGATGCTATGGAGAGCAAAACAAGGACTACTCTGAGGGGTTTGCAAGAAGACACAATATGGAATGATATACTCTATTCCTGAAAGGAGAGGAAATAAGTCTGAAGACCTTCTGGTTCCCCTGACTCCAACTGTCTACCTCCAGGCAGACTTGGGTTGTAAACACTGCACAAAATAAATCACATTATGGCTTTATCTCACTCGATTTCAGCAGATTCCCTCTGGATTTGACAGCTCTGCTTCTGTTCCAGCCCCCGCTGAGGAAAAGGTTGCTACCCAACCACACTGAATTCTGGGATAGGCATAACCCCAGGGTCCTCCACCAATGCCAAGACCACCCATATTCTGGCTGCCTGAGGAGCCCCCACCCGCCGAATAGGCCTCTGCCTGTGTGCCAGGGCTTCTGGTCTCTAAGACTGCCTGCCTGTAGGTCCTCTTCCTCCCTCTCTCAGAGTTGTGTTTGATGACTCTGCACTGTCTGAGGACCTCATCATGTAGGTGAGCCCCAAGTTGATCCCAAAGGGTCTACTGGCACTTTCTCTCTCTCTCAGTTCCCTTTAAGAAGTAGAGATCAGGGCCAGGCACGGTGGCTCACGCCTGTAATCCCAGCACTTTGGGAGGCTGAGGTGGGCAGATCACGAGGTCAGGAGTTCAAGACCTGCCTGGCCAGCATGGTGAAACCCTGTCTCTACTAAAAATACAAAAAATTAGCTGGGCATGGTGGTGTACGCCTATAATCCCAGCTACTCGGTAGGCTGAGGCAGGAGAATTGCTTGAACCTGGGAGGTGGAAGTTGCAGTAAGCTGAGATTGTGCCACTGCACTGCAGCCTGGGTGACAAGAGTAAGACTCCGTCTCAAAAAAAATTCAAAAGACAAGAAGTAGAGATCATTCCATCAGTTAACAGATACATATTGAACACCTACTAGGTGCACTGGGATACAAAATTAGTTAAGATGATCCCTGAGCTCAGAGGGTACTCAGTTGGGAAAGGCACATAAATAAAACTGGACAGGCTGGGCAAGGTGGTTCACACCTATAATCCCAACACTTTGGAAGGCTGAGGCAGGAGGTTCACTCGAAGCCAGGAGTTTGAGACCAGCCTGGGCAACATAGCAAGACCCCCATCTTTAAAAAAAACTTTTTTTAATTAGCTAAGCAAGGTGGCATGCACCTGTAGTTTTAGCTATTCAGGAAGCTGGGAGAGGAGGATCACTTGAGCCCAGGGGTTCAAGGTTTCAGTGAGCCAAGATCATAGCACTGCACTCCAGCCTGGGCAACACAGCAAGAACCAGTCTCTAAAAAAAATAAAATAAAATACTATAAACCTGGACAATTAGTGTGATAACTGCTGGGAAAGAGATAAGGACAGGCTACTGTGGGAAGATAGAAGGAAGATACTTAGCCCAGGGGAAAATGGGGGGAAAGGAGAGTTCCCAAGAGAGCAACTCCCAAGCTGCCTCCTGGAAGGAGGAGCAGGAACTAGCCTAGTGAATGAGGTAAAGGGAAGGAGGGGGCATAAGATGCAAAGGGAGCAGGCTATGGCTGGGAATGGTCTGGAGACAGAGATAGCAACAGTTCTCTGGGAAACTGTAGGTAGTCCACTGAGGCTGTGTTCCAGCTGCAGAGGTAGGCCCTAGGGTGCAACAAGAAGGACCTTGTATGCATTGTCAGAGAGTTGGGAGTTTATGAAGGTAGAGATGACCCACTAGGTGCTTCGTGACCTGTCTCTCACCTCAGGGCCCCGGCCCAGCTTAACGCCGAGTGCTTCTGCACATCCCCAGATGTTCCTGCTCCCTGAGTCCCTTTAAAGTAAAAGTCACAAAGGTACCCCTCAACCTGGCTTGAGCCAAAGCACATCCTTATTCTGTCGCTTACATCACCAGATTTTCCCACTGTAAATGTGTAAAGAATCCTGAGGTGTTAAGTCAAGATCTTCCTACGACCCCCAAATTCCTACGCAGCAGGACGATAAACTTCTGGCCTATACCACAATGAAGAAATACATGCATAAAAGTGATCAGGTGGAGAACAAGGTAAAGTGTGACAACATCAACAACATGCAGGTCAGCTGTGACTATTCAAAACTGGAAGGATCAAGTTCCAAAGTCCAGGCCGGGTGCAGCGGCTCATACCTGTAATCCCAGCACTTTGGGACACCAAGGCTGGTAGATCACTTGAGGTCAGGAGTTCAAGACCAGCCTGACCAATATGGTGAAACCCCGTCTCTACTAAAAATACAAACATTAGCTGGGTGTGATGGCGGGCACCTGTAGTCCCAGGTACTCGGGAGGCTGAGACAGGAGAATTGCTTAAACCCAGGAGGTGGAGGTTGCAGTGAGCCGAGATCACGCCACTGCACTCCAGCCTGGGCGACAGAGTGAGACTCCATCTCAAAAATAAAAATAAATTAAAAATAAATAAATAAGTAAATAAAAAGTTCCAAAGTCCAGAAATTTTCTTAAACCTCAAGAAATAATAAAACTGAAGAAGGCTAATCCATGAGCCTGGGGAGGTCATAAGGAGCTGCTAAGAGAAGACCACGTGAACCTATTCAACAGCTACCTCCTGAGGAGTGGGAATTATTAAGCACACATCAACAAATATAAAAATCGGTATAAGAACAGCATTGTACTTCTTGACAGCAATACCAGAATCTAGGTGTTAATAAAGCCGTATCTCCGAAATCCTGAATAAACATAATTTATAATGTAGATTGTATGACTAGGCAACATCATCATTCAAAGGTAAAACAGAGTGATGATATTTTTAGACATGAAAAGTACAAAAAGATTTACTTCTCATGGACCTTTTCTTAGGAAGCTATTTAAGAGGAATGTGCTCTACCAAAATATGAGGCAACGCTCGAAATCACAGAAGAAAATGCTAGGATGCTGGAGAAAGGAAGACCCAAGAGAAAGAAGCAAGCTTCCTAAACACTCATTGGAACTGCGGACCAATGACTCTAAGAAAAAAGTACAGATACACACACACACACACACACACACACACACACACACACGATGGATTATCTGATGGGTTTGATTATATGGAGTTGTATTGAAAGGATTTTATCGTTTTAGAGAAACTGAGAGGACATTGTGATAGATCCATAATAAAATAAGCAAAGAAAGAGGCCAATTATTAAAACTCCAAGGAAAACCAAATGCCATACAAGACGGGAAATTGTATATGATTTGTCTCAACAATGAATAATAAATACATGGTCTCATTAGCATAAACAGTAATGATTTAACCAGATTATGAGAAGGATAGCTTCCTTAATAGGAAATAGTCATACATTATTTGGAAATACATAAATACCAGAAGAAATAGCTCAAATAATTGAATAAGAGATGGAAAAGAGGCCTAAAAAATATGTTTAAACAGCCTGTATATAGGCCTTCCACATTATTTCCACCTCTGGTCATCGGAACACAACCCCTAATTTAATAGAGGCATGACTGTATTCTTGACATGTAGAAGATAGAGATTTTTAAATTTGGTATCAGAAACCAAAAACTAGTTAAATGATTGCAAAATCAGGAGGCATATTCATCCTTTAAAAGAATACTTGCAGGCGGGGCGCAGTGGCTCATGCCTGTAATCCTAGCACTGTGGGAGGCCAAGGAGAGCGGATCACTTGAGGCCAGGAGTTCGAGACCAGCCTGGCCAACACAGTCTCTACTAAAAATACAAAACATTACCTGGGCTTGTTGGCGGGCGCCTGTAGTCTCAACTACTCTAAGTAAGGAGAATGGCGTGAACCCGGCAGACGTTGCAGTGAGCCGAGATCGCGCCATTCTGTCTCAAAACAATACAAAACAAAAAGCTTACAGACACAAAACGACAAAATAATGCTCTTTAGGGACTCCATCTACCTTGGAAAACAGGGATTTGTGACAGCTTTGGTCGACGTGCATGTGCGTTTAAAATAAAAAGGTAACCTAGGATTTGATACCAGTGACAGTAACAGCTTTATCAAAAAAAGAGGTGGTTTTCCTTGCTCCTTCTAGGGACTAGGGTTTTAGTCTCGTCCACCCTTCAGGCCTGAGGATTTCTGATTGTCTATCAAAGGGTCAAACAAAAAGCTCTCTAAGCTTCTACCCAAGCTTTAAAGTCGAAGGGCTGATCGCGGGCTTTTTCCTTGGGACGTGGCAGGGGCCTTAGAGGGAAAGAAACAAACGACTCCGGCTTCTCACTCGGCTCCTTACACAAAAGGCATTTTTTAAACTATCTCTACTTAAAACAAAGTGTTTTTGAGTCAGCAGTCCTTGGAGTGGGTCTAGTCCTCCTGGGCGCCCGACACCCACCCCATGGCTGGAGCCCCGGGTGGCCCCGGAGGCCACCGGGAAGCGAGAACTACATCTCCCGGGGTTCCCCGGGGCGGAGGACGCCCACCCGGATTGGCCAGGGGTCGGTGACGCTCAGTGTTTTGGCCCGGAGGGTCACATGTTTCCTTTGTTGTGAGCTGCGGCAGAGACTGGTGGCTGGAGAAGACGCCGGCGGCTGAGGAACCGCGGGGTTCGCCGCTGCTGGCTGCTTCCAGCCTTCGCCGAGAGGTACCAGGGGTGACAGCTCCGGGACCGGCCGAAAGGCGAGGAACCGGCCAGAGTCTGAGTCCTCAGGGGCGGAGGGGTGGCGGGGTCCTGACCACCGGGGTGTCTGCGGGAGGGCAGCCAGCGGCTGCCGGCCTCTCGGAGCCAGATTGGCGGTCTGCAGAGAGGCTGCAGCTGGGCTGCAGGGCCCCTGTCTGAGGCGAGGGGCCTCCAGGTCTCCCTGGGGGTTCTTCCTCCCCGCTCGGTAGCTACAGCCCTGAGGGAGGGCGCCCGCGCCTCCTGGCACCACGGCCCGGAACCGTGGCGCGGCTGGCGCGGCCTGGCAAGGGCGAGGTGGGAGGGGGTGGCCGCTGGGACTGGGGGTAGCCGCAGGTGCGGTCGCCTAGTCGCCGCGGGGCCGGGCGCCGCCGGGGGTGGCGGCTGGGCAGACGGGTGCTGCTTGTTGCCGATGGGCTGCGAACGGGGCGCTGCTTTTTATTTTCAGGAAGCGCGGGGGAGTGGGACCGCCTCAAATCCAGCCTTCCCGTTTGGTGGGACGACCGTCGGTTCTGTCCGGGAGGAATGACGGGGTCAAGGTGGGGTTCCCGGGGCAGCGGGCCAGCGAAGCCCCATTAAAGCGATTGCGAAATGCGCTCGGCACTGTCACCTGACCGTTACCCCCGCCCCCGTCCCCTGCGAGCCTTTGTTTACCACGATCGCGACACCGGGCTCGCTGCGGCCGTCCCGGGGGAGCCGGGGCGGGCGGGGCAGCGGGCGTTCAGCCGCCGCAGTCCCCGCCTAACCTCCCCACCTTCTTACCACTCCAGGACTTGGTTTCTTAATTTAGTTCCTAATGGACCCGCCCCCAAGTTCTGGACACCCCGGGTGAAGACTGTTAACGCGGCGGGGATTGGGCGCCTGCGGCGGCTTGTAGGCGGTACCCGAGGGCGAGTTCGAGTTTTTATTGGCGAGTTTTTATTGTCACTGGGTGGGCCTGTCCGAGGCCTTTCTTCCCGCCCCCTTGAAGGTGATCTGTAGGACGCGCGGGAGCGCGCGCTCTCGCTGCTCTTGCAGCTGCGGCAGGAGTGGAGCCTGGCAGCGCGGATGCGGGCGGCGCGCGCTCCCGCCCCTGCGGCGGGTGGCTAGGAGCCTCCGTGGCTGCCGCGGCTGCTGCCTGATCCTGCAGGCAGTTCTGGACACGCAGCGGTCGGCAACCGTGGCCCGCCCTCCGAGGACCGGAAAATTAACACCCTTTAACTAGTGTCGCGTTATCTGCCGGGGTGGTGCTCAGGAAGTCCTGCGAATTCGTTGTTGTCAGTTCTGTAAACGTGTTTAGATAGCTAAATATAGATCCCAGTGCCACGTCTTAGGGGGCCCCACGGTCGCCCCTGAGGCAGTGGCTGTTCACAATTGATTTTAGTGGATTTTAATGATTAATCACTTGCTCTTGTGGGCAGCTTTTCAAAAATCACGTCTTTGTATTTGCAGCTACAGACTGGGTCCACCAGCTAAGAGGTTGGTTTTTATTAGGGTTGTAAAATAGATTTAAAATCTGCTTGTTGTTGGCTGAGATTTAAAAGCAGATTTCTACTATTTAAAAAAGATAGTTTAAAGATACTGCCCTGAAAGGTAAAGAGTCTTCCATGCTTGTCTTGGATGAGTTGTTTTCCTTGTCTGAGGGATTCTAGGTCACACACTTCTATGTTTTAATTCCCGTGGTAATTCAAAATATTTGAGAAGTGGGTTGCAACTGTGTCATTTTAAAATTAGAAATTAAGGTGACGGTAATAAAATCTTTAAGACCAATCATTTTTAGCCATAGTGGGTTGAAAATGGTTTTTCTATTCTCTTGGGTTAATAGGGTATTTGCGTTTTCTCAGATTTTCTTCTCCTGCAGATGTAGGAATTCACTCAAGACTTAATACACTTGTTTTGTTTTTGAGACAAGGTCTCATTCTGTCACCCAGGCTGGCGTGGAGTGGTCTCACTGTCACTCAGGCCATCTCAGCTCACTGCAATCTCCGCTTCCCGGGTTCAAGCGATTCTCCTGCCTCAGTTTCCCGAGTAGCTGGGATTACAGGCGTCCGCCACCACGCCCGGCTAGTTTTTGTATGTTTAGTAGGGACAGGGTTTCACCATGTTGTCCAGGCTAGTCTTGAACTCCTGACCTCAGGTGATCCGCCTGCCTCAGCCTCCCAAAGTGCTGGGATTGCAGGCGTGACCCACCGTGCCTGGCAGAGACTTAATACATTTTTGTAGAAGGAAGTTTGAGCTCCCCTGGATGAAGCAGGAATTGAATATGAACAGTTCCCATTGGTTATGCATTCTTTAAAATTCCAGAGGAGATGGTTACACCGGAATGAGCAGCTCCTGTCATCAGAACCGCCTCATCACTTGTGCATTGAGAGTATTTAATATATCTAAATAAGTACAAAGTGCAATCATCTAAACTTTTGAAGAAGTAAAACCATCACTCAGTAAAGGCTTGCTTATTCAAACAAAGCCAGCAACTTAAGTCTCTAAACAGGAAGAAGAGATAATATTCTGAGTTAGGACTGACTACCAGCTTTAACCTAAACTTTCCTGGCTTTCGTCCAGGTTGTTGAACCATCAATGATTTTTCAGTAACCTTTTTTTAACTTCCTTGTTTTTCTCCCATTTCATTAAAACCCAGAGGTCAAGCCTGTGAAAAATAAATACTATTTATCAAATAAGTGACCACAGTTGTTTTTGTCTAAACTTTTCTCTTACCTAGAAATTTGGGACACTTTTTTCAATAAATATTTGGGTACGGACTGTATAATGGAAAAATGTAAGTAAATATCTTCACAAGTGTACATATGAAAAATGCATTTTTGTATAATTTATTTCTGGTGTGACTGAAACAACTAGAGAGTATATAGCCACTTGACAACTGCTGACATTTAAAAACCGCTATTGTTTCTCCTATTAAAAACACATTAAGTGCTTGCTTGTCATCCCAGCTACTCCAGAGGCTGAGGCAGGAGAATCTCTTAAGCCCTGGAGTTTGAGAACAGAATGGGCAACATAGTGAGACCCTGTCTCAAAAAATAAACAATACAATAGTTAAGCAAACTTTTTTAAATTGAAGAGTTTGGCACTCTGCCTATATTCATCATCCCAGAGTTAAAATTTTTCAGCATTTGACACATCTTAAAGACTACTAAACTGATGTTTTAAAAGTGGGCTTTGGCTGGGTTCGGTGGCTCACGCCTGTAATCTCAGCACTTTGGGAGGCTGAGGCAGGCGGATAACCTGAGGTTAGGAGTTCAAAATCAGCCTGGCCAACGTGGTGAAACCCCGTCTCTACTAAAAATACAAAAATTAGCTGGGTGTGGCAGCGGGCACCTGTAATCCCAGCTACTTGGGAGGCTGAGGCAGGAGAATCACTTGAACCCTGGAGGCAGAGGTTGCAGTGAGCTGAGATCGCGCCATTGCACTCCACCCTGGGCAACAGGAGCAAAACTCCACCTCAAAAAAAAAAAAAAAGGTGGGCTTTACTCTTAACTGAGGTTTCCAAATGCTACCACTGTAAATAATTAGTGTCACCACTAAGGTAAATATAAACTACTAACTATGTGCTTTTATTCATAGAGAAGTCATGTAAAATATTAGATCTCAAATTTGTGACCGGGCATGGTGGCTCACGCCTGTAATCCCAGCACTTTAGGAGACCGAGGTGAGCAGATCACGAGGTCAGGAGATGGAGACTGTCCTGGCTAACATGGAGAAACCCCGTCTCTACTAAAAATACAAAAAATTAGCCGGGTGTGGTGGCAGGTGCCTGTAGTCCCAGCTACTCGGGAGGCTGAGGCAGGAGAATGGTGTGAACCCGGGAGGCGGAGCTTGCAGTGAGCTGAGATTGTGCCACTGTACTCCAGCCTGGCAACAGAGTGAGACTCTGTCTCAAAAAAAAAAAAAAAAATCTCAAATTTGTTCCGGTGGCAGAGCTCCTTGCTGGCATCCTTGCAGATTTAATTTTAATTAAAAAACCAAAACCAGGCCGGGCGTGGTGACTCACGCTTGTAATCCCAGCACTTTCAGAGACTGGGGCAGGTGGATCACGAGGTCAGGAGTTCGAGACCGGCCTGGCCAACGTAGTGAAACCCCATCTCTACTAAAAAAAAAAAAAAGAAAAAAAAAGAAAACACAGCAAATATTATCCTGGTGTGGTAGCACGCTCCTGTAATCCCAGCTACTCGGGAGGCTGAGGCGGGAGAATCACTTGAACCCGGGAGGTGGGGGTTGCAGTGAGCCAAGATTGTGCCACTGCACTCCAGCCTGGGTGACAGAGTGAGAGTCCATCTCAAAAATAAATAAAAATCCAAAACCATTTTGCTATCAGAAAACATAACTATATCATATATCTATAGGTATTTTGATTATAGAATAAAACAATGCATTAAATACTTAAAAGAAACGTTAGCAAGATCAAACAACATTAAATTTACACATCAAATCTAGTCAGAAGCATGAGTAGGCTCAATAGGGCACCTTGGTATACCAGGTGTGATGTCTGATGGTTAGCAAATTTTTTTCTTCCTTTAGGGTTGGAGAATATCAGTAGCCAGAAGCTTTAAGTTGAGGGAGAGAAACACTGGAGAAATTCGGGGTTTTTTTTCCTATGATTTAAGAGACAGTAGTAGTCTTTTTTAGTTAAAGAACCATATTGCTTAGTCTGACACATTGTTTAAGCTTTCCTAAATTTGTCATCAACAGCTATCTCTTTTGTTTCTCATCAAGCAAAGTCATACAGTGTATTGCCCATTTGAGGTTCTAATAAACATGGGATAATCCCTAGTTGCTATCATTCTATCCAAAGAAACTCAAGGTTTTAGTTGGTTTCTGTTACCTTTTTTTTTTTTTTTTTGAGACAGAGTCTCACTCTGTTGCTCAGACTGGAGTGCAGTGGCGCCACCTCGGCTTACTGCAAGCTCCGCCTCCCGGGTTCAAGTGTTTCTCCTGCCTCAGCCTCCCGAGTAGCTGGGATTACAGGTGCCCACCGCCAGGCCCAGCTAATTTTTTTGTATTTTTAGTAGAGACAGGGTTTCGCTATGTTGGCCAGGCTGGTCTCGAACCCTTGACCTCGTGATCCGCCTGCGTCAGCCTCTTGAAGTGCTGGGACTGCAGGTATGAGCCACCTCGCCCAGCCGGTTTCTGTTGTCTCATGGTGGGTAAATATGGTCTTGGTGGTTCCATTAAGAAACTGGAAATGTTGAAAATAGCTTGAAGGCTGGGCTTTAAACATTACATTTGTAAAACATGGTTCAGGAACCACTGCTGCAGAGTAATCTTTAAACTGAAATTTTGATAGTGCAAAGTAATTTTTTTTTAAATTATGATATTAAAAAAATCAAATAAATTAGCTTTTGAGACTACAGGGTGAAAATATCTGAAATGTATAAAAATTTGCTTGGTTTTGTATAGTACCTTATTATATATAATTTTCTGGTTATTTTAAAAATAAAAGATGTACTGGTCAGGCACGCCTATAATCTCAGCACTTTTGGGAGGTGGAGGCAGGTGGATCACGAGGTCAAAAGATTGAGGCCATCCTGGCCAACATGGTGAAACC